TTTAAGCTGAATTTTTCAGAAGAATTAAAAACAATTTGTTATCTCTAAGTTTATAAATTAGGTTGAAGTGTTATACTCAGTTTCTAACCTAAAACGTCAGCTATTTCTCGTTATTATTAAACAGAACAAGAGAATTCTTTCTCATGTTTTTCGCTTCCTGAAAGTGCATCTTGTAAACTAAAATATCGTAGCAGCACGGGGCAATTCATAGCTGAAAGAATAAAACGAGGCATATCGATAAGATCATCTTTTTCCTGGATGATTAATGACCACATAATTAGATTCAATTTTTTGCTTCAGTTAATGACTCTATAATTAGATTCAGTGTATTTTATTTTCTGTACAGAAGAGCAAATTAGATCGGATTTCCTCAACCAAAATGAATTCTGAACAGCTGTGAACACTTAAACAGTAATTCGAAGCTAGTGGCATTTGAATGAAGCCTAGAATGTTAGTTACTTTACTACCTGATTTTTTTCCTTATTGCCACTACAACTAGTTTTTCATAATGTGAAATGCTAAGTTTTATTTTGGGCACGGAATGTTTAAGGGGAAAGTAATAATAAAACAAATGTTACATAGCAATTGTTTTATAACGCTATTTTACCTAGATGAAAATTATTTATTTCACATGCATTTGTAAATCATCGCTGCTCCGGACAAAATTGTAAGTTATTGCTGGTCCGAAGTCAAGATTGTGGTTTCAACATCCGAGTAAACTTTGGAATTCTTTGTGTGTCTCTTTTCTTCCTTCCGTTCTTATGTGTTACATCGGTCGCCCGCTGTGGTGCACACAGTGCAAAAGCAAACGTTATCAGTGATAAAACACATATAAATGGCTGATGCTTTGCCTTTTTCGACGGCTGTTTACGGAGCAAGTGTCCGATAACTAGACGTGTATACGGTAAAAAATATGTAAAACAAAACAGTATTAACTTTAAGGGGGGTAAGGACCTTTCAAGCTCACTTTTCTCCAATTTTTTTACTAATGTTTGAAATGGCCTCATATACAGGATATTAACCACACAGTCATATAATTTATGCTACATATAAATAAAAACATGCAGATATAAAAACAAGTTAAGTGGGAAGTTTAAGTTGAGAATTTTTTTAATTAAATTTTAAATCTTGATTGTATATCGAAAATGAAACATAATAGCATATTACTGTCCGTAAGATATCTTTAAATAAAATGTAGTTACACTTTCGATTTTTGACTCAAAATAAAGCTAAATGTATTGGCTATAGAATGAATTAAGGAATTACAATTATATTCATAATTAATATTTTTAAAATTGAGAAAATATTGAAATTTTAATTTACTTACCTTTTTTTTTTTTACTAATATGGATCAAAACAAAACAAAAAAATTAAAAATCACTTGTTTCATGTTAATTCCTTGTATGCATATAGGTATTTTTAACATATATGTGCAATTTCCGAAGTTTTTTTAATTTTTAAGTGTCAAAAACACAGTTTTGAGAAAAATGACTTTAAAGTTACACTTTAAATTTTTTTACAATGATATTTTTTTTCCTTGCTAGTGTCCACCTGCTTCATAAATATTTCCTTCTTTTTCAGATAATACATTAGTATTTTTTCGGGACATTCGCTTAGCTCTCCTGGCCTCTTTTGTCATTAAATAGGTTTTCTTTTCAGCTGCGAGAATCCTTCGTTTATCAGCAACAAATGCACCTGTAGTTGCATTATGACCTAGGGTGACATCCGTTTCTCTGATTACATCTAGGCGACCCTTATTACCTTCATTAAAAGCTACCACAGCTTCATCAACAGGAATTTTGGCAACTTTTCCACCACACCCAGAAGTTTTCGGGCAAAATTTCCAAATCATAGAATTTAAGGATTCATTTGGATTCTGCGTTTTTTCCTTTTAAACATCGCTTTAAAAGCTTTGGTTCAGATAAGTCTGTAAAAACCTTTTTTATACAGTCCATTACAGCTGAAGGTACAGTCTTCTTATGATGAAAAATTCCTTTATTGGAATCTTCTAAAGCTTCGTGCTTTTGGAACTTGCACCATGACTTATCTCCTTCAGGACAGAAAAAGTGCATGGGCTCGTCATCAGTGGATCTTGTGTGACACCATACTGCCCACACTGCTTTTCGCATGTTTTGTAAAGATCCACTATTTTCTCGTATCGCATTGCCATAATAATTAGTCAGTTGGTCAATTAGCTTGTCTGTTAACCGTCCTTTACCTGAAAGTGGTTTACCATCAGCACATTTTTTTTTGTCCTCATATCAGCTTTTAACTTTCTGAGTCTGGTGCCCATCCTTTTTTGAATATGGCAAATGCATTCCAGTTTTTCTACAGTCACTTCTTGACCATATGGCTTGTCTTTGCTGATTTCCAAAAATGTTTTTGAGTCTCCATCGCCAAGATATTTTGAGTAACGCACATTTCTCTCCTCTATTGAACGCTGAAACATGCGTAGCATTCCAATGACTTCCATTTTTCCAGCCGAGCCTTCATGGTTTTTTACGCAGTCATGAGAAGCTACATTTCTTTCGCAACCTTTACAAAAAGAAGTTAGCACTTCAACATCAATAACTTTTTCCACTCTCTGATCCGATTAGAGTACATACGCCAATTTTGGAGCTGAAGCCTCTTGTTTTCCAGGTACCATCACCCGAAACAGTAATATTTTCAGAATTATCAGATAATGATATTTCTTTCCAATGCAGCTTCCTTCATTGAAATTTTAGAAACTGTAGCTGCTGTTTGTCCAATTCTCTTCACAGCTTTGTCATAAGATTTTTGAGATAGTGGAGCAGGGAAATCCATAATGCTGCAAAATCTTTCCAACCTGCTAGGCCTTGACCTATGCATCTCATTGCATACACAATTCTTAAATTTACTTCACACTGATTCTGCTTCACACCAATCATACGTGATGTCTTAAATTCGTTAATTTGCGAGCATTTTGTACTATTGATGGACATTGTTGATGATATCCTAGTTACTTTACTTTCTATTATTTCAATTTCTGAGTGACAAATTTTGCAACAAAGATAATTTTTAAGTTCTTGGAGCATTAAACAAATATCTATAAATCTGCAACCTTGAAAATTATTTTCCAGAGAAGAATCAATTTCATACTTGCTCTGTGAAGTTTCCAATTTTATTTTTTTTCTCAGATGCAGATACGTTCTCATTTTCATTAAAATTGTCAGACTTTTTGCCATGAAATCGCCTTTTTCTGGATCGATAACCAACAGATCGATAATAATCTTTTCCCATTCTTAATAATAGTTTTATATGTTTATAGTATAAACTATAGACAGTCTAAATTTTAAATGGTTGAGGGGGAAATGCCTTCTGTTTAAAAAAAAAATATCATTGGAATTCAAACTGTTTAACATCAAGGCAGTGAACTGAAATCTCTTTATTTAATTTTCCATTACAATATGGAGGATACAAAATCATTTTTGAGTATACAACATAGTTTAGACTTAATAATTACTTTCTTCGAGTGACGAATCTTGGAGATAATTTAAGCCTAAAAATAAAGTAAAAAGTTTTGTCTCGCTATCTGCGAGAAGATGAAAATAGTAACCTGTGGAAGATTTGGCATAAATAGGGTGCAAAATTCAATTTATTCGTTAATTTCGGCGCTATTGTGATTTTTTTTTATTTTTTAATCTCCAAACTCTCTTCTTTATTATATACTCAATTATTTGTATTTTATGTTTTTTGAAAGACGTAGAGCATTTATTTAGAATCTAATACTCTGTTTAAGTACAAGTTAAAATACTTTGTTAAAATTTTCATAGATCATAACTAAATATACGTCGAACAACTTTATGAAAAAAAAAAAAAAAAAATAGGTGCAATTTTACGAAATCATACAGATACGTTCATGAGCTTTGGAATGCTCGATGAAGTAATTTTTCATCATAAGCTAAGAAGTTCATGATAGCAAAATTATTCAAGAGGAAGGGGGAAAAAACCTTTTAAGAGACTTATTTTATATTTCATGTGAATTTCTTTCTGTGCGATAAACAGCCAAATATTTCTTCCCTCATTCGTCAAAAGTAATCGTCGCAAGTGACCATCGCGTGTCCTCCGCCTTCTTATTTATCTGGGCAGACCAACGGTCATCAATCTTGCCAGATTCGCCTTCCTTTGCTATTATTAGAACCACCCCACCTTCCTTCAGGAGCCCTTTGCCGTTCGAGTGTTAACAATACCCCCCTGCAGTCTCCTTTTCACTCGACTCACACGGATTCCCACGACGAGAACGACTGAAGCGCCATCTATTGAAGTAATTTATTATTCCATTTCTCCCCCCCCCATCCCGTTTAATGCGATGTATGATTTGTAGTGCTACTGCATGGCATATGTGGAATATTTTTCCCCATTTTTTTTTAACATGTAAAGAATATTTGCGACGAGAAATTTTTTTATCATTATTATTACTTTTGCCGATTATTATTTTCTTGGTTTTCTCCCCATTCGCCAGTTTTCCTTTTATGAAAACCGTCTTTTCGAATATATATCATCTGTATTTTTTTCCCTTTGCTTCATTTTTAGTGTTGTTGCCGCTATTATACGCAAAAGGCAAAGGCAGATATTTATACATCTTCAAAAAATGAACAGAAACGAAGAATGATATAGGGTTCTCTCTCCAAGAATGTATTTTAGATACGGAATGAAAAGAACAGTAAGAAATTGCCTGTCAAGGATAAAAATATATATGTACGGATTCGAGTCCAGCATTGGGGTCTCTCCCTCACCCCTTGGCATATCTTTTTTTCTTCTCTTCCTTTTCCCTTCTTTTTCTTCTCTCGTGCGCGTGACTGTGCCATATGATTTATGACTGAAAGATGAAATATAGTTCTGCTCGAACCGCTTGTAAAACTAAGACCGGACATATTTTTACCAGAAGGTTTCGAATATGATTAAACACCATGTTATTTCTTTCCTGATTTCTCTAGCTTATTTAATGATTATTTTTCAGCATGATATGGGGGAAAAAATTGGAGGTGGAAAGGACTTGTCCGAAAATAAATGATGAAAGGCTACAGAGCTTATTATTAGCGTCGAAAGATTTCATAAGCAGAGACTTTGCGGAAAGACAATTAATGAAGGACTGCGAACTTGATGCTGATTAATGGAGAAGACTTGCGACAGGTAATCTATTTGGCTGGTTGGTATTGACTGTCTCCCTTTGCCATACGCTCCGTTTTTTCCCGCTATAATTACGTAATCGTGTCGCTGAAAACCAAAAGGATATTGTAATTGTATCTCGGAGCTTTATTGGATTTTTCCAAGCACAATTACATCAAGTAATGAGGGAAAAGACTACAAACAACTCTTTGCTGAGGGAAGAGCATTTAATATGTAAACAATACGTTAAACATATTTATGCTTAATCTTTTTATGCTGTATTAGATTTCTAGATAGTTTGCTCCAGATTATTACTGCCAAGATTATTGGCCTATATTTTAACAGAACGTTTTTAGGTAAAACCTGAATAAATTTTACCTAAAAACGTTCTGTTAAAAACCAAGTCCTTTTTATCTCAAAAAAGGCTGTGAGAAAAAAATGTATATGACGTGGACGGTTTGGTGCCCTTTTAGTCAGTGGAATTTTAGTCGCGAGGTAAAATCTGGAAAATAGTGGACCTTGAGCCGAAATTTCTTTTCCCCACACAGGAGGGGAAACGAAGCAGGTTGCAAGTAAATAAACGCTTCCCACTTAGCCTTATTCCGGCGTAAACCTTTTCTTACGTCCGATGTCTTTAACTGGCTCAAATGTCAACTGTTTGTCAAATTAGCATATTAATTTATTGCACTAAATTCCACAGAGCAGTATACTTAACCTTTCTTCTGTTCCATCATATTTTAAACGAAATTATTTAGCGTACAATAAAATCTATTTTGATTTGATCGTGTTTAAGAACTAAGTACTGAAATAAACTTGAATTGGAAAGACTAAAAATGTTCTTTGTGATTCTGGTTTTAAAAAAATTCCAGACAAATTAAGTTAAAGAAAACTAAAATGCGGAGATTTATAAATAACCTCCTATTTTGATTTGATCGTGTTTAAGAACTAAGTACTGAAATAAACTTGAATTGGAAAGACTAAAAATGTTCTTTGTGATTCTGGTTTTTAAAAAAATTCCAGACAAATTAAGTTAAATAAGTTAATAAATAAATAATAAGAAAACTAAAATGCGGAGATTTATAAATAACTCCTTTCCCTAATAAATATTAAAATTAATTATTTTATTCAGTTAGATTGATGTTTCTGTCTTCGACATACTATTTAAAAAATTGCAAGGCTACTGTAAATTCACATTGTATCCTTGGAAGACGAGAATTTCATTTTAATTTACAATTATTTAATTAAATTAGATTTTCATAATATCAAATGCGGAGATTTATTATTTCATAATATCAAATGCGGAGATACAATTATTTAATTAAATTAGATTTTCATAATATCAAATATCAAATGGACTCATTTCATGGCCAGCAAGTTCGTCTGATATAACCTCTTTGGACTTCTTTCTGTTGGACTATGTTAAAGACATATTTTACCTTTCGAAAGTGTCAAACACTGCAGAGCTGAAGAGGAGAATCAGGAATGCCATTGTAAGTATTGATCACGCCATGCTTGACACACATAAGCACACACAAAGACAGAACTCGAATATCGGCTTGAACCAAAATGATCACGTATTTTGCAGCAGTATAGGTGTTATCCATGAATGCATGAAAAGCGAGAATTCTAATTCGTGAAATTTAAAGAGACCTTTCGTGTTGCAAGTTACCAAAGCCTTTCGATGTCTAACGTATACTTAATACTCTAGCAAGTACAACTCTTGTTAACATTAGTGCAGAAACAGAAGCTATAGTCACCAGGATTATGCAATTGAAACAACAGTTAGAATACAGAAGTTGCAGAGGTCAAACTTTCATCCCAAGTTAGTACGAAAGCTAATCATGGCATATAATAAACATCCAACATTTCCGGACAATATAATTAAATTCCATAGATGTGAAAGACAACTAGAAACCGAATACCTATCTGATCTGCAAACGGATTTAAAATCAAGAAAAAGTTAGTTTTGCGGTGTATCTTAAATTAATTAAATTTCATTTAGCTGAATGGACACATGAATTTCCAAAATAGCGTATTCCAATAGCGAACTGGCAGCCTTTCGAGCGGTCCTGCAAGGAGCATCAGAATAACGCTTGGGAAAATTGCATATAAAACAGTTAGCCAGGCAATTAATATACCCGACGGCTGACGGCTGCATTGAGAATTGTAGATGACATCATCGCATTCTCAAACTCATCGCAAGAAATACAAATTGTGACCTCAAGCATCAAAAATGAAAACAACACCAATCGTTACCAATTGTCGCGGTCCTTTACTGATATTTTCGTTCGAGAAATATTTCTACTATAGAAACCTGTGCACGTGGGAAAATGGCAGATGCATATAATTGCATCTTTAAGTCTTCTTTAACTTCTGAGTTTCATATAAATAACCTATGTAATAATAATTTCGCTTTCAAAAGATACTCAATCAAGACCCCGTATCCGATAACAAAAACGCCTAATATTATTGCAGAATTAGCAACATATAGGACCGAACTATGTCAAGTCTCCGATTAATAATTCGATAGAATGAAATATTGAGAAGTATGAACTACAGAAATATGTTTCCCTAACCTAATTTTTTACCCTAACTTTAATAAAAACTTTGTGACCACGACTGACAAATAAATTAAAGATTTTAGGAAAATGAATATTTTCTGTATAATAGATATGCTTATTTCAATGTTTTACCTAAATTTAAATAGTACTGGTTAATCGAGCGTGATAACTGATAGAAAGTCTAACAGCACTGTGCAAACCCAATTAGTTGAATCTGGTATTATTATCCTCTCATAAAGTATTTATACGATTAAGTGATACAAAATATCAAGATCTCATTACCTGGAATGCATCTGATGGACTGCTATTGCGCTATGGATTTAGAAGCTATTGCGTTATGGAACAGAAAGAGCTTTTAAATTGAAGGAGTTTCTATTCGGCTACATGTAACTCTTATAGAAACTCTAAAAGAAGGCTTGTAAGTAGGAACAATAGTAAAGTAGGAAAAATAAAAGTAAACAAATAATGAAGTGCATAATACTACAGGATTAGTTAATGTGTAGCAAATTTTCTTTCATGTATTGCTGAAACTGTGCATTATGATTATATATTAATCATAATGCACAGCATTATGTATTAATCATATAGCATCAATTGATTTGTAATATTTAATTTATTTCAGTTTTATTGTTAATGCACTTTTCATTATAGTTTTAAAGATAATAATGTTTCTCGTTTAAAAATTCAAATTTGCGTGTTTCACATTAGCCTTTTTTTTTAAATGTTTTAAATGTTTTTTGTCACATTTTCAAAATTGTTGTGAAAATTGTAATTAATATTTGTAATAATTTAAAAAATACATAAACAAAACTTGAAAACAATATTGTTACACCTGTTGCTTATAAAATTAAAATTACTTTTTTTTTTAAATTGCCATGGCGTTTTTTAAATTAAACTTCACACATTAGCAAAATGCTAAATTTTTGAAGAGCTATAAAGTATATGGTGTTTTAAATGGATGCAGTAGAATAAGCAATTAAAAAAAATTAAATATACTGGGAGAATGAAGTGCTTCTGCAAGGGATGTCCGGTATCCTATACTATCATTGCACTTCCCTGACATGATATAGGCTCTAACACGCTTGTTTCTCGAAGGCCACGGTATAATGCTCTACTGCAGCTCGCACATTGAAGAGTTCGAGTCTCAGCTTTTCCCAGACTCGACTTTGTTTGTTTTTGTTCTTGTTTTCTAGTATATTTAACGTAGCTTGTTCTCACCTGTTTAATCAAGTTTCTACTTATTTTCGCAAGAATTATATTTCGCTACTTATGTTTGCATATATGTACGTTTTTTTACTATTCAAGATTTTTTACTTTACTATTTGCGCTGATTTTTTACAACTACTCAACGATTATTCATTTAAATTTTTTTCAGTGATCGATTCATTCATTTTCAATTTTTCTAGTTTCAGTTTTCAATGGTTTCCAGTTTGATATTTCGCCTACAGGCTGGCGTTTTTGTTTATCTTCTTAAAAGCAGTATTCGTATTCCTCCTGCTTCATTTTCAGGATGATCTAATTAAAGCAGCAGATCGGCAAGTAAGATATTTTTTTATATAAACACTAGCTCTTTTATATAATTTTTCTTTAATATCTACACCTCAAATTCTGTTAATAAGAATATTTTATCTTTTGGTTAATAACATTTCATAGACATTATTTTTTCTTAATTTTTGCAGATGGAACGTACATCCGAGCTTACACTTTTAAAGGATGACGCTGCTCACAAACAAAACAAAGTAAGTGTCTTTCTTTTACAAAAATTCCATGTTTCAGAATTTGTAAGGGATAATGCATATATTTTGTATACACTATTTTTAGATGGATCCTGAATATGCATTTGAGCATGACGATATGCCTCTAGATAATCAAGTGATTGCTATTACGGATTTCGGCGGTTTTAGGAGCTAAAATCTAGATTATAGATTTGAAGATAATTTTTATGCACACACGTGTTGGAAAAGATTCACTCTAAGCACCAATCTAACTCATCATGTAAAGACTCAGCATTCAATAAATAAATATATTTGCTACATCTGCCAAAAGATCTTTCAGAGCTCCGTTAAATTTAACCCTCTGAGTGGCCAGGGTCTTCGCTAAGAAAGCACAAATTTCCCAAAACTACTATGAGAACAAATTATTTTTTTGATTTTAATGTAAAAACATTCCTGGTATTTCATACCTGGATTTGTGTACTTTTGATATATTGCCTTAATTTTTTGACATATTTTAATATCACGTATATATACGTTCTTACAGATGCCACAAAAATCATTCTAGGTCGTATTATATACGACCTTGCCCCTTAGAGGTTTAACCACATGAAATTTCATGCTAAACAACCGCAGCCTGACAGAATCCTTCAGTGAAACGACAAGCTCTCCCCGCTGCCATGGCTCCTCCTAAATGACCCTTCACGAATGTTTACATGAGTACACCAACATTGGTACCTTGGTACATTTTATACCTGGTCTGGTCATTTATCGCAGTGAATCCACCAACAAAGACTTGCAAGTGTTTTAGAGTCTTCAAAAACTGAAGTAGTGGACAAGATTCGAGGAGCCGCCTCACAACTTCAGGATATTAAATGATATCTCAATACTTGAGTGAACATAATCAGGAACGGAGACGGAGGAGCAGACATGCATCCCTTATTTTCGATTAAAATGTAGTACTACAACACGGGAGAAGTGCCTGACACGTAGGCAGCTACTGAATAGATAAGGATGTATATCAAATTAATTTTATATACACTGATCAAAATTTACATTATTATCATTTTCACTCATAAAATACTTTATTTTCCAGGTTGAGTTCCTTGGAAACGTTTATAAGAAAAGATTCAAGATGGGTGCTAGACTGACCAACATCTCGAGCTCAAGACCGCTCTTTGCAAGCCTTTAGCTGCATTCTCCTACATACTTCTACCGAAAGCCTTAGCCAGCAGGAAGGATGTTCTAAATTTACAGAATGGAGATCACAAAAGTCTTACGGGGAGCGTCTTGGCGACCCTTCACCCTGTCGGGGGGTCATGAACATGCACGCAGAATTTGCTATTACAAGCTCTTTGAAGGAGAAATCAACGTGGATGGTCTGTCTTTCTCCATCCCCATTCACCAGCTCGATAAGTTCAAAAGCATGAAGAACTTATAGATCAATGTTCGGCTGGAGAAACAATGAGATTTGACCTTTTCAGATCACAAAGAGTCGAAACTGTAATGTATCATTACTTTACATTTTTGCAACCACTTGTTAACCACTGTAATGATTAATCCGTAAACTCCCCCCCTTTGGTGACTTATATCAACGAATAGTCTGCCTTTATTTACATATGAAGAATTTTTCATATTGTGAAAAGAACCGCAGCTTGTGGGCGCCTCGTTTGAACTTTAAAATGCCAAATATTCTTTTCTCTCATTTGTGTTCAAACTTTCAAACTGTTCACAGCACCAATTAGAAAAACTGAAACTCATTTACCTATCAGTTACCACCAATCGTTGATATAGCAGATAAATTAAGAAAAAGAAAAAACGCCTGAAAAAAGAAGAATTTCGTGCGGAAGACACATTAGAGAAAGATGTCGAGAATGTGGTTATTTTAAAATGCAAGTTCGAAGCAAGAGACGTATATAATCATGTGAACGAGCATAATTCGACTCGAGGTGAGCTCATTTATCATGCTCAAGTCATTCTAAGGACTCATGTTGTAACTCTTATCAATCATTTTTAAGAAAGAAGAAAAAGAACCGTTACTGAGCAAAACTGTTTACTCTGTTTTTTTAAAATTATTTAGGGTATTTCATGCTGTGTTAAAAGAATTAAGTTTACCTACTATGCATGATGTTTATAACAAATTAAATGTCATATACACTCGAAGAAATGGATGGCTCAACTATAAATCAATTTTAACTTCATATGTGTGTTTTGTTGTTGTTGTTGTGACTTATCTCACTTGTCTGACAGTAACATCAGAACAAATTCACGAAATTTATCGTGGCAAAGAGTGCAAAGTTGCACTTTTTATTGGCAAGAGCCTTGAGTATCATACAGGCGACAGTACGAATTTGATCAGTTCCGTCCATAATTTGGTTAAAGTGCCCTCCGGGGGGGACGGGTCCAATGATCTCACATCCCTCTTCCTCTACCACCAATCTCTTATGAGGAATTTCGGCTCGCCACAGATTTAGAATCCACCCTTGCTACACAGACACTATACATTTACAAACATCCAGGCCTTCATCGGGATTCGAATCCAGGTATTTCAGTACGACAGTCAGCCTCGTTAACCGCTATCTCGATTGGACTGCGATATGTGTCGTTATTGTGTTATTACTAGTAAGGCGAATTCCTGAAATTAAAAATAAATATGATATAAAAGAATAAAGAGAAAATTGGAAAATTTTTATTTAAAATTTTCTTAGACAAAAAACATTCAATGTATTTTTTAAAAGACTTAAACACTTCGATTTTGTTTCAGTATAAAACATTTCGCTTTAATTTTTTAAAGAGAAGATCTCCACTTTTATTTTAATGCATGTTAATTTAAACTGTAAGGAAAAAAGACATAATTTTATGTTACAAAGTCGAAAAAAATTTCTTTGCATGATTTTGAGTCGAAAATGTTCACTTACGTTTCTAAAGAGTTAAAAAAAAAAGAGAGATTTTTATTTATACTTTTCCTCACAAGAAAAAAAATTCATTGAGTTTTTATTTAAAACTCAAATAATGCACTTTTGTAAGTTGAAAAATTTGCGATTTTATTCAATCAGAAAAATAAAACACGAAATATGCATTTCAAACATTTTATGATTTGAAAAATCATTCTTACACCGAAAGTTTTATTTTTGCCCATGAGTACAGATTAAAATCAGCCGATTTACGCAAATTTTCAATAACAGCATGCATAGCATACTTTGCATAATAGCACAAGTAGCATGCCTTGGCCTCGTTTCAGGACATAATAAATTGAGTGTGCTTCACATACATTAGAAGTTAAATTTGTCAGGATTTGTATGTCTTTTGACTTGCTTTGGAAACATAACTTATCCCGAATAGGAACACAGAGCTTATTAAAGCTATGTTCCAGTATGTGTGGAATAGACGACGCAAGCAGGAAGGGTATACTGAACCCTTTATTCTCTATTACTTTACAGGTGCTCCCGTACTTTGGGATACAGAGACCAACCACTTGTGATCTGAACGTAAAAATATAAAACTACTAACTAAAAGCTAACTTTGAATTAATATACAAATGCCTAAACTAAGACTGGCCTTTTTAAAAGGTTACGTAAGTAGTACGTAAACTGCTGAAACTACAAGACGTTTTAAATATCAAGAGGACTAAACCTCTGGCCTTAAAGGCAAGCAGCAACTGATTGAAAACTAAGAATGCAGTGGCAAGGCGGATCACTTCCTCTTTCTATCTAACGCTTGAGAAAAAGCCACAACTTAAATATTTGAGCGTTAGCAAGTACAATATGCATAAACAAATTAACGCATTTAACTCTGGCCGGAAGTGGAAAATAAGAAAGTATAGTAAAGTTTTAAAATAAAATAAACGTTAGTAAAACTTAAGATCCTTACAAACTTTGTAATGGAATATTATTCCATTTTGTGTTTGAATAATGAAATCGATAAAAGTCTGGTCCATAAGAGTAAAAAAAAAAGCTCTAATATTTTGTCTTGGAAAATGGCTACCCACTGCATTACAGATTCTGTGAATTTATCTATATTCACAATGATGGCTGACCTTCCATTTAAGGGATGCATTTTTTTCTGATGGATAAACTCCGAAAGACAGCTTGTCTATTGTCTTGCACAATGTCATCAGTTAAGCCAAAAATAATATTCCTCGACTTATTAATTTTAATCACGTTATCAGATTCTGCAATAATAATCAAACACACACGATTTGCTCGAGAAGTTGACTAAACTTCGACTCAATCCGTAGATTAGAATGCTTAATGATGTTCATGTGCTCCCCGTCACAAAAATCTGGTGATAGTTCGAAACCAAATAATACATTACCTTGCAGATATTCTTCTCTTGATATAAAATTACTTTATCTTCATGGGATTTGTTGAAAAATAGACTATAATAAGCTCGAATATAATTGTTACTATCAAAGTTCCTTTCTAGTTATTGTAAGGCACAGGCTGTCCGTCGTCATGTACTCGAATAAAATTCAGATGATAATCTTCAAACTCAAACGGAGATTTGGCAAAGTTTCCCTGAAATGCATCATTATCAACATATCCAGTTACGATTCTTCGACGCATCTGTCCTAAAAATACATTGTCTTGTATCAAGGACATGCTGCTTTGGGACATGCTTGCTTTACCAACAATCTGAGGCGAATCTGAGTACTTGGACTGTTCCAAGTACGTTAAAAAATCTGAAGCTCGAAGCCTAATAAACTTGCTAATCAAGAATCAAAAAAGATTAAACGAGCTCTGTTTTTCAACCCAATTTTCCCTCTTTTTGTAGAACGATCATACTGTAAAGAGATTTTCATCTTTAAGTGATGCTAAAATAATGACATCTAAGAGATCATGAACACTTTCGTAACATTTCTTTGGTATTCTTTTTGGAAACTTTTCTTACACCTGAAGATTCATCCAAATCAGAACAAAAGATAATATTATCTTTATTAATATTATTCTAAGTGTGTGAGTAACTTCATGGCACGAAGCACAATTTAAAAAAAAAAAAAAAAAAAAAAAAAAAAAAAAAAAAAAAAAAAAAAAAAAAAAAAATTAAATGCTACAGATTTTAACGTCGCACTGGTGGATTTGTTTAGGTTTTTTACGTTCTTCATGAACTCACAATTGATCAATCTGCTCTTGGACTTACTCCTGATGACAGGACAATTTTTGTCTTTTTAACGTTATTACTAAACATCGCTTTCTTCACACGCTAAATCATGAAATTTTAAGTAGCCACATACTTCTAGAATTTCTGTTAGAATATTAAATATTGCCATGCATTTTTCTATTTTGTCACTCTTCTTACTGCATGATATTAATGTTCAGTATTGTTAACAAAATGTTCTACTCAAAGTTTTTTTTATTCTTTTAACTTTATTATTAAACATCAATGTTTTCACACTTATATCGCATAGAATTCAGTAGCAAAATCACAAGATTTTTACAGTATATTTAGAATTCCCAACGCAATGCGAAGTGTTACAATTAAGGTTTTTCAATCTTTACTCAGTTCATCATATCAATGTTCACTTTAACGCTTTATCTTATTATCTTTTTTCTTTTACACATCACTCTCTTTGCCCTTAGTCGCAAGAAAACTCAACAGCAAAATCACAAAATTTTAAAAAGAAGCTTATTTATAGAATTCCAGATAGTGTTAAGTGTTACCATACAGTTAATTATATTTGCTATATTATTTCTTTAAAAGCAATACATGACGACCACTTTTACAATAATAATAATTAAGGATGAAAATCATAATATAAAATCAGTCGTATTGTGCAATAAATATATCGTTCAGTCATCATTACATTGTTTAGAAAAAGTATAATGTTATATACTCAAAAAAAAACTGTGCAGGTTTTCTTTACATTGAAAATTAATGTGAAAGTTCAGTAAAAATGGGATAACATATTCTTTATGAATAATTTACGAGAAGTTCGTAGAGATTTATGTACCAGAATATAAAGGGAGCTGGTTGCAGACGTGGAGTGAATTGCTTCTGCAGATCATTTCCTCCATGTCCCGCTATTTTGTCTTAGTTTTTAGAGTATGTATTAGTTTTTATGAATAGAACTTTCGGTTACTACACTAGAAAGAAAAAAGTACAAAACGCGTTTACTGTACAACGCAAGTATCTTGAAAATTTATCATTGCCATAGACTACCTGTATCTGGTGATGATGGAAGTGGGCAAATAGACAATTATCATGACGACAGTCTGGTAACTGTTGTCATGATAATTGTCTGTCATGATGACTGTAGTCAAGGAAATTGAAGTTCTGCGGCAATTAAGTAACCACTTATTTAGCTAATTAGTTAATTACAAGCTATGCAGTTAAAGCTGTAGAATATTGAGCATTCATTCCAAGTTCATGTGACAGCTCTTATTAGTGAGGCCTGATCGCATGTCAGTTTTCTTATATGTAAAAAAAAATTAAATTTATTACCTTTAGAAAATTCTCACTTCGTGAACTAAGTTCAGTTGTTTTGAGCGCATGGGTAAAAACCCTATCCCAGTCTAACAAGTGGATCTCTTTCCGAATTTTGTCGATCGTGAAGAGAAAATCCTCTAGGAAAGTAGCCCTTCTTACGATTTACCGAGCTAATAGTAGTTACTCATTATCTTATTAGAGTTATTCTACTGCTAAATGCTTTTATTATGTATCAAGTTATATCTGCTATCTAATCTCCAAGTTTCATCTAACAGCTGTACCTGATATCGGCCATTTGTAGATTTAGTTTGAAAAATATTTTTACATGATATTTAATAATTAAAGGTAACACATAAGACGTTAAATGAATAAAGGAAACACACAAAAGCATGAAAAAGACTATCCTTTGGGTGTAATATAAAATCTGAAAGCTTTCAGATTTCTTTTTTCTTTTTAACCCAAAGGAGCAATTCGCTGAGAAGGGCTATTAATTTTGTTTTGGAATTTTGCATTGATTCACTATAATTGGCGAATCACCTTTTAAATTGTTGACACCAAATATTAGAGCCTGTATTATAATAAAAGAAATTAAATAATGAAGAAGCGCATCAATGCATGCATGTTTCTGACATTGTGATGAAACAACGGGACCTAGAGCCATCAAATTTTGAATAACGTACGTCTCCACCTGAATATCGGCATTTGGAAGCCCAAATTTGGAATTAGTTT